TCTTTCTCTCTCTTCCTATATCTTTCTATCGGGCTGTTATGCTGCTAGCGACGAAACCGCAACACGACAACCAATCACAGCAAATGCGATAGAAATAAAAAAAAATAAACAAGTAAGGAGAATCAACTGTGGCAAAGATTTATTTTTATGGTGCGCTACTATTTTCTTTATAGTTGTGTTAGCGAAAATATCAACGAGAAATAATTTGACAAAAAAAAAACAAAGACTGTAGTAACACATTATAATGATGAGAGTGAATCGAGAAAAAGCAAAATATGCACACTGAACTATTGAAGTGGTAAAATTGACAATTTTCTACCCATCACTTACAATAACTTATATAGTTAAATGATGATTGAAACTTTGTTGTTTTACAACCGTAATAACAAAAAGATTAATGATGTAAATGTTGCCAATGATATTGAACAAAACATATTCACTTCATGTTTGACGTTGTCGAATGATCAAAAACATCGATTTCACATGCATTTTTATTGCTGTGCATTCAATGATGAGTGCAATTATCTTTCGCTCTCTCACTCTCTCTCTCTCTCCTACTCTCTTTGCCTTTTTCTTTGCACTCTACAAGAGCAATTCTCTCGCACTCATCCAGTTATGTGCTGGTTCTTTATCAGTGCGATCAAATGAATGAATGTGAATTTTTTTTTTTAGTAAACTTGATCAACCAACTCAAGTAATTTCTTTTTAACTAGGTCGAAGCTCGGGCTGCACGAGAAACGTATGTGAGAAGAAAACGGATAAAACTGAACATTTTAAATTGAATCATGATTATGAGCTTCACGAGGACCAACTTTAGGTTAATTAAATTTTTTCCAAGACAAGTACGTTTTATCGTTAAAAATGTTCTAAAAAGCCGGGGATTAATGTGAAGTAGCAAGGTTTTTTTTTGTATCCGAATTGATTTGACAAATCATCATTGTTATTCCGTCAACGTTGATTATTATCGAAACGATCGTAAATTTGTAATACCGATTTCACTTCAAAAGTAATAACAATCATTGATATGCCCGGAAATGTTCTTTCATTGCTTGGAGTCGATGATTTGAACAATAAAACGTCACTTTAAAAAAAGTGCAATTTTCATACATAGATTGACTGTGAAATTGATGTGAGGGGCATGCATTAATAACCCGCTTAAAGTGCAATTATTTTTAGATTGTGAATGTGATTTATTAATTGCTCATCATACCGGTTGAGTCGCATGGACGCTAAATGATTTTGATAATATTCGATTCAATTAAATGTTTGACAGTGGAAAAATGAACAATTCAAAATTTATGAATGCTTTTCTCGAATCAAAAAAAAGCATATAGATTTATCAAGCGAATGGGCAATTATTAAATATAATTGAAATTCAGCAAAGCTAGTGAAAAAGTACATGTAAGAAAAAGCATATTATGAACTATGAAAGCGAAAAATGGCATGGCAAAAGCACTTTCTCTGCTTTTATTTAGCTTTACCGAAAACTTGAAACAAAAAAAAAACAACAGCTATTTGAAATTATTTGCCGTAATAAAAGAAACACGAAAGACGAAAAAATTATTTTTCGCGCACAGGGTCAATGCATAGAGCAATGTGCAATTAAAAAAATATTAATAATTTCGACTATTCGTGATATTTTTTGTTTTGTTCAGTTCGAGCATAATGTCATACTTGTTTTTTTGAGCGAAAGAGAAACAAAAAGTTCAATTCATTTCTCAAGATTTGAATGGAGCGGCAAAAGAGAGCGAGAGTAAAAGAATCAATGATAAAAAAACCATTTCGCTTTTTGTCACTTACATCCATAACAGTTTTTTTTTGGTTTGTTTCATTTCACTCTCTTCAAAATCTTAAGTTGTTTGCCAAAAAAGTGCACAAGTTGAAATGGCGCTTTTCATCATTTTAAATGCGGCAAATTTTTACACCGTGATCGTGAGACATCTTTCAATCTATATCAATTGTGCATAAAGTATAATTACTGATGAAAAAAAAAACAAACAAATCTCATCATTGATGAGATGATTTGTACATTTTTTTGGGATGGCGCACCCATCACCCCGATGCAAGTCTCAATCTTGACTTCGCTTCCACGTACACAGAAGAAAAGCGAGCAATTCCATTATTTGATTTGTATAGTGTGTGTGCGTGCACGATTTTTTGTTTGTTTGTTTGTTTATTTGATTCTCCGGTGTATGTGCGATGACTTTCTCGCCAATGTTAACAAGCAATTTCGTTAAATATAATTTATTTTCACTGCGGTGTGTTCGAAAATTATTCACCACATTTTAATGGTTATTGTTATGTATATTAATGGAAATCAGACATTTGGAATTGCCATTGTATGCCATCACACTGATGATGTGACTTTTTACACTTTGTTATGTGCACAATGTTTAGCTCAATTGTTTTTGTTCTGTTGGTTGATTTATTTTTCGGTTCGTATGTGTCTGTGGATCCAACATGAATTTCGATGTAATGCATTTATATCAGCAATTACATATTTTGATGTGTATAAATCTCAAATGTCGCAGCACAACGAATCATAATGAAAAAATCTTGACACACAATTTAAACCATTTGATTTTTATGTTTGTTTGTTGTTTTTTTTCGGTTCTCTATCCCACCCGAAATCAATTAAACATTTCATCCGAATGAAAGTAATTAAAATTGATGATTGCATATTTCTTCACATTAATGTGTTGCAATTTGAGCGAGTGTAAAATTTGCAATAAAATTGCTTTGAAATGCTCATATATTAAAGCTCATCGCTTTTTTTTTTTATTTAAACGGTTGTTTTTTCTCATTCATCGACATTCTTACGTCCTATCAATATTATCGGCCGTGATCGTCCCTATGTTTTCCATCGGAGTTTCATAACATTTTCGAATTATAGCCGTTGGTAAATGTGTGGGAAGGTTTTGTAGTAATGCGAAAATTGCATAATATCAGATAATTTCAGAGGTTCGCCGGTCGAGTCCAAAGAAATTGTCTTCCTAGTTTCAATTTCATTTTTATTTCCACCGCTCAGCTACAGAGCACACTCAATTATTGTCCATTAGTCGTTGGCATTTATGTTTCATCATCATTCAATCGAAAGCCAACCATATTTTTGCTCCAATTAAGCGTGAACTAGCTCATTGTAATGAATTCAAATGAATTCAGTGTATGTACGCGGTCTGGCGCAACCACAAAATACAACAAACCAAACAAAACGATTAAAGTAAACAAACGGAACTGTTTTGCGTCTGCGTCTCGATGAGGTGTGATGGCTGTGGCGGTAAATTTGCGCCTCGTCATGTTTTTAATAATAATCATCGATAATTGGTGAATCATTGCATTAGATGATAGTTACGTTAATATTATTCGATGGGCGATTTGCAAGCTTTATGTGACGACGTCTTTATTATTTGATCAGTCATAAATGTCGACGACGGCAGCAACAACAGATTGTGTGAAATTGACTATGCACACATGATGTGTCTACGTCATGGGAAAATTGTGTGTGTTTTTTTTTATCGCTTCTTTTGAAATGTAATGTGAATTTGTGGAAAGTCCATTTCACACATAGCTCACTCAGTACTCAAAATGTGATCATTAAAAAAAATGTTTTATTTTTGACTGCATAAAGAAAACGCACACATTTCGCCGCTTAATAAATAATCAAAAATCGAAGTCGTATGATCTTTTTAGAATTGCACACTTTTATGTAAGGTCGGCGTCCGAAGCCGGACAGCCAATCTATTAAAATCAAAAGTGATTTCTGTTGGCATCGATCTACATCAATCAAAGAAGTAGAAAAAAAGAAGAAAAACAAATGTTGTTTATAGCACAAAATGCATTAACCAGCCAATATGACATAATTGTGCCGGCGAAAAAGAGGCATTTTATGTCATAACACCTAAATATACTAAAAGAAAACATAAACAAACGAATATCCAAAGTTTAATTAGCAATTATTGACATGGTTTTTGTTCAATGGAAATTTACTTGCAATTTGAATGCTGTATATCAAACAAAAACGTTCGAAACGTTGAAAATTGGAATTGTTTGTGCTCAAATTCGATTTTGAAATTAATCAAAATATATATATATATATATTCCATATATGAATTTGCAGCCGTTTCATTTTACATACATATTATGATTTATTTGACCGATTTTTATGTACGCACAATGAGCGTCCACTTTCACTCAATGTTTCTATTTCTCTATCTATCTCTTTCGTGTTTTGTGCCATACGTGTGTTGTTGGAACGTTCGCCTTTTTTTTTTGTTTACGTTGATCAACGTTAATTATTTCGCTCAATTGCATACAAAAAAAAAATTGTGGTCAAACAAAATGCGTTGGTTCCCTTTTTCCCCTTCAGCCAACTGATTTGAATATCAATGTCTATAAATTGAGCAGAGAAAGTGTTGGAACGAAAAATTGTAGTTTCAATGAAGTCAATGGATAAAAAAATAAATGCCTTGAAATAACGCAAATCACGACAATGAAACCGATTCCCAATCGAAATGCGTCTCTTTCATTCGCTCCACTCGTTAGTCTGTCTAGCTACATTTTTTTTCTTCACCATTTTGCAAATAGAAATTTATTTCATTGTAGATAAAAATGCAGTCTCAATTGTATTTAAACAATAACACAGCAGAGAGCAACAAAATACGGCACACAAAACTAACAACATCGTTGAAGGTAACAAAAACCTGTTCAATTTTTATAGCTCTTTTGTTTCGTAAACGATACGAATGCATATTATAATAACAACAACAACCGAATGAATAACACAAACACAAAAAATAAAACACTTTCAATTTCAATGAACTGCGCGAGTCGTTCTATTCTAATTTCAATTATCAAATATTCTGTTCAATGCTATCTTTTGCGTATTTGTGAGAAATAACAACAAAGAGATTCACCCTTGTGCGTGACACAGACGGGTGAGAGGGGGAACATGAGTGCGAAGATTGAATTGATAATGTGGTATTTGCTTTGTTTTCACTTACCTGTAATGTTTCCAACATGAGCTCCTTTTCCAAGATCGAATCCAATGTTTGCATTTGATCGCATGATGCACGCGCTTGTAAATATGATGATGCTAAAATAAATGCACCCAAAATCAATGACGACGCAATTACGGTTACGGCAATAATTTTTGCAATTCGCACTGAACTGGTTTCCCGTCTGTACGCCTGGTCAGACATACCACATAAAGGAGAAGGAAGAAAAAAAGAAAAAAAAAACATTATTAAATACAATACATTCAATGGATTGATTTGATCAATCTCTTCCTAAAGTTAAGTTAAATCAAGCAATATTTTGGATTATTCTTTTTTTATTTTAGTTAATTTTGTTTTTGTGATTGGTTGGTCTTTTGATCGTTTTATTTTTTACTTATACGGTACTTTCGCACGTCAAAAGTATGTGCATGTCGTTTTTTTTGTTGTTGATGACGCTGCTGCTGGTAACAGCTTAAAAATAGCAAGCTGTCACATAACAATAGCATTAATAAGACACGACTACATGAATATCATTATTATACATACGTTTAAAGTGTTAATTTATTTATATGCTCGATACAGCGATATAACTTTTACAATGGTTTGTTCATAATTTTGTTGTTTTTTCTTTCTTTATCTCTCTCATTGGTTGTATCATTTTTTCCATCTTTGTCAATTGCATTGACTCGAATAATGTATTCAAGTGTATATTTCATTCGTTGGATTGAAATGAAGCCATAAAACAGGTTTCCAAAGAACAGACATAAAATGCCACACAAAAAAAAGCACAATGGTACACAACCAAAATGTAATTGGAGAGTTGAGCTTAAAATTGACAATGAAACGAAAATAAATCCATATCTGTTTGATGAAATGGATAAATGTTGAGCAAAGCAATTGATGTCACTCCACCGATATATTCGCTTCGTTCATGTTTCTATTGTGCTTATTATCCACTTTTCTAGGTGATAATAAGCAAACCGGTCTTCAAGTGAAGAAGCTGTAATAAATGTTACGCGCAATCGTCGATTATGTAACCGTTGCGGACAGACGTCCGAAAATTGTCTTCAACCAAAACCAACGGAAAACATTGATCATCATCATCTCACAGCACCAATTATCCCGATTATGTTGCAATAGATCGATTTTGTGCCTGGTTTGTGATCGAATCATAGTTAATCCGCAAAATAATTGGCCAAAATGATTTAATAGATGATGGGCAAGCGCACAAATTGGAAAATGTTGTAATTTTTAATGGTTGAAACCTGGGAAAATCGGATTCATTTCAAATACTTGTTAAATTGAAATGATGGGCGTGATTGATCATTTTAATGCCACGGTGTTGTTGTTTTTTTGGAAAGCTTCAAAATCAATCATAAATTGTTTTTTGAAACAATTTGCTCTTCCCCTACCTCCAATTAAATCCATTTTGTAAATTCTCATTGATGAACGATTGCGCTGAACTCAACAAGTCACACACTTTGAGCGAAGAAAACAAACTTTTATGCGAAAAACAACAAACACATTTGAAATTGGTTTAAAACAAACTAGTGAAACAAAAATAACATTCAGAGGAGAGAAAAACAATGCCAGAGCTCATAGTGTAAGCTCAATGATAAATTGAACACACACACACAAAGTTACAAACATCAAAGTGTCGATGGCCTTGAACAAAATGCACATAGCGAAGAGCAAAGAAGTGAAGAGAAGAAAAAAAAAACAATCGTACACAGCATGAAAATTGACGAAAAGTCACTTTGTGCTCATGAACATATAATGGCGTCAAAACAATAAATAAAACTCATGTTTGACTTTTAACTAACATTAACAATTAAACTAACAACTTGAAAACGAAGAATAGACGCAAACACCGAAAAATCATTTGCTGGTTCACATTGTAAATTTGCAAATCTAGCGTCTTTTTTTATATGGAACGGTAAGAGCAGAGGCCGCAACAGATTTGAATGGTTGTCTGGTGTTTTTTTTTTATTTTGTTATAATTTTGCGGCCTTTTTTGAAGAATTGGCGCTTTAAGATATTCAGTCATGTATTCAGGTGTTTCGGCATTTTTCCATCGATATGGGTAGTTTAACTGTACAAGCGTGCATATATTTTTTTTTTCTTCAAACGCATGAGTGGAAAGCGGTGGAAAGTAGATTAATTGCGTATCAACACCAATTGACACAATTTATCATTTCACAAGGCCATTCTGATTAGTTTCCATTAATGCTTTACAATAATTTTTATCATTGAACCTAGCGCTTTTTTTCAGTTCCAAATCACTGGAAAATGCCAATCATTTTTTTTTCTCTCTCTCTCCCTCGCAATTCGAATTGATATTTGCGATTGACAGAAATCCGATTTATATTTACGTTTCACATTGAATGAGAGAATTATTTTAATCATCCTGTGCACATGCCAAGAACCCTCTCAAAGATAATTAATCTACGTAATTAGACGTTTCTTCTTTTTCTGTTGTTCCGAAGCCGGATCGCAATTTTGTTGATAAAAAAAAGATCGCCGGGTGGGATGCTTTGATTTCAAAATCGTACACCATAACAATAATTATAGTTTTGTTGTTCTAGAAATTAATAATAAAATAGAAACAAGTGTGCAGCAATCAAAGCTAACCTCAATCAATGTCAAGTTTTTTTTAAGTATCATCTACTTCTCGATTGCGATCATTTCGCAAACAGAATCGTTACTTTAAATCAACAGTTGAACACATTTCGAAATTGACCAGAAAAAAACAACACATACTCGTTCATCGATATACACATCAATCAACTGACATGTTTGTATCAATTTTTTTTCCTGCAAGCAGTTACTTGTTTTTATGGGAAACTCCATATCAGATGAAGAAATGTTGAAATTTATTACAACAAAAAAGCACTTTACAAAAAAAAATCACTTTAAATTAAAGTTCAAAATATTAAAAACCGATTTCAATGTTGATAGCTTAATTGATAATGCTCAACCCTCAATGATAGTCAATAAAAAAGAGACACCGCAAGCTCATAAATGCTTCACGAAATTCAAAAACAAAGTAATTAGCACTAATTAACATATACTTCACAAGATTCGTACTTGTCCCGACCACAACACAATTAATGAATGGTAATGATGCGCTGGATACATATAATTTGCGATAAATATCCGAAGAAAAAACAAACATACAACAGTATTTTCGACGCTTTTTATGTAAAAAAATAAACCACACACATCTTTAAACGACACGAAATTTCCTTGTTTCTTATTTTGTCGCCTTACAATTGCCTGATTAAATCATGGCGTCCGATGTCAATTTTGCCACGCTATTGTTTAATTTTATTATTATCGTGTGGAGAGAAGGAAAAAAAGTGGTAAATTTCATTATGCGAAATTTGTAAATGCACGATTGGCATTGAAATAAATGGAATACATTAATCTCATTCGCATTCAAAAATCGTTTTAATTTTAAAGTGTCCGACACTTCTAAATGGTTGATTTTTACAATAAAAATGTGATGGCGTTAGATTTCAGTGAGCTGACATTTAATAATTTGATTATTTAGCCGAACCATTATTTAATCCAAAATGCCAAGATTTACAACAATAATCCGAAGAACATCCGATTTCATTTCGTTCCGCATTTGAATAATGAACATTTTTCCGTTCAATGTTAATGTTAACAAACGTAATCCGATTCGTATACGAGCGCATCGCATCATGTCACACCGATGAGACAATACAATCTGGTATGAAGGCGCATGTTTTTCGATTTGCACAAGCACGCAAAATGCGTTGCATTAACAAAATGGAAGACGAAGAAAACCAACATGAAAAATCCCGGAAATTCATCGTGCCGCATATAATGCATAAAGAGAAATGATTTCAATCAATTACCGAAACGCATCGTTTAATTCTCACTGCGAGAAAAAAAAATCTTTTGATAGTTTTCTTTTTTTCATCTCTATCGTTTGTTTGTTTTTTTTTTTTTTTTGTTTCTCTGCAAAATAAAACATGTTCTGCTTTCTGTGGCGATGCAAACATGAACCAAAAAAAAAAATTCGCACAATTGTAGCGAAGCTTGTCATTGTTTGGATTCATCAGCAACATCGTCATCATCATCATCGCCGTAATCCAAACATCAAGCAGCAACACCATGGCCAAATTCATTGCGCTTGTTTGGTGTGTGTGTGTGTGTGCACGCGAGCGCGCTTGCGAATGAACTTTTGGAGCCGAGAGCACAGCGCAATCAAAATAAACAATAGACATTTAAGGCCCCATATTATGACATGACACAGTAAAGAACGAATATCTATATTGAATACATTAACACGGCTAAAGCATAAGCACGTCATGATTATGGAGCGAATACATTAACTATTAGAAAGTTTTTTGCGCATCATTTAATGTAGTTGCTCTTTTCTCGCGGTCGCAATTGCTGTGTGTGTGTGCGATGCTGTTGATTCATTTTACTTGCCATTGCGTTGCTATGATCTCTCTCTCTCTTCCTCTGTCTCTGTCTCGATTACGCTTGATCACAGTAAAGTAAAATAAAGTCATGGTTGAATCTACACAAAAACATTATAAGTGAACCGTGTGAGTTGAAAATTTCGATGTTTTGTGAACCTCGATTTTTTTTGTGTGCTTTTTTTTCTTCTAAAATGTTACACCGATTAATTTCATCAACGAAACATTCCAAACAAGAAACTTCAGCCGGGGTGAGGCATTTGATCAATCTTCTATAAAAGTCGCGATGGCAAAGACACATAATAAAGAATTCATCGGATCATTACGTTGTTGGGCAATCAGTCGAAATTACGTATATGAAATACCGATCAGGGTGCCATACCACTTATGAATATGTATGCGATTCTTTCATATTAGTTGATATCACGACAATCTATGATGCTGAAAATGTCTGAAACCAAAAAGATTATTATCCAAAAAGCTGTAATCTCCGCGTGTTTTTTTTTTCCTTCGATAAATTTTACCGAAGAAACATGATCGCCAGATGGATGAAATGCTAACACAAAGCGATCGTTAATCGTATACAGCCGCCAGGCAGTGAGGTAAAATTGTGCGAAATGTCTCGCGAGTGCGTGTTCTTGGTCAAAAAAAAAATTAACGAAGCCAATGCAAATTACAAACGGCAAAATAATTGAAATAATAAATTCACAATTTGAATGCGCATAAAATTTCAATCTC